ACAAATACGATATTTAGGAGCGAATGTATTTTTCCCTCACCCAAAATGCTTCAAGATACAAGAGTCATTGTTTGAGAGCATTCGTCATGCCTCACAGCAATGTCTCCATTCAGACAACCTGATGATGTCCTACTTAGACCACGGAAGGTGGGTTCTATTGCCCCACCTGCCAAAAAAGGATGGCACCTGCTTTTTCTACCTTTCAGAGGAGTATCTTAATGACTTTAATAGTGGATCCACCACAGGCAATCTCATTCCTGCCTCTTGATTCATTCTGTATTCCTCATTAGCCACCAGATCAGGATTGGCCACTTAAGGACCCCTTCTCTGGATGATCATTGGTTCATGTTGTTCTCCACATGCACTAGAACATCTCCATCCTTGAAGCTATTCAAACCTTGGCTGGACCCTGAGCAACCTGATTGATGTTGCCTGCATGGATTAAGCTCTTTGCTCCCTGCCAGTACTGAGCCGTGGTGGCTCTGGGGAGGGAGATTTGGCTCTCAACCAACTCCTGTGGCACACTGACACCTGATGCAAGCATCCACATTGGGATGCTCCTTCTTGTGCTGGTGAGGTGAAGCGGTGGGGATCACGCCAGCAAAGATGAGGAGCACCTATGCACAAAGTGCCATTGGAGAAGATCAGAGGATGGAGGGTCACCACCGATGGTGGGTGGTGAGAAGTCGCCCCATAGTGCATTCCCACACCATATCACGACATCCCACCTCACCGGTGGTGGAGCACGTCCCACTCCAGCTGTGCCAAGTCCAGCAGCTTTGGCTGAGGTGGCTGTGGGGTGACAACCCCCAACAGAGCAGGGGACCATCTCAGACTGCCACTGCACCTTGATAAATTAACCCATACCAAAACCCCAAGGCATTTTTTTTTTTTGGTATAACCTCTCTCATTCAGGAAGCCAGCCTGAAACGCTGAACACACCTTATTCACTGTCTTCCCATCCCTCACAGAGGCAGCCAGGCCACAGACCAGCTCAGCTTTGATGCTGTGAGAGCTGCAGAAAGCTTCATCGAGTTGATTTGACCATATCTACAGGAGGCAAAACTAGTTTTGTTAAATAGTCTAGCCTTAACCCAGCCTTGCTTATTTTATCAGCAGCTGTTTGCTAAATCTTTTGTACTTAAAAGAACAAAACCCTCAGCTATGCAGCACTTCAAGGATCAGACTTGAGCCCTGATTCCAAACTTTTCATCATGCACATTTTTAAAACAAAGTACCTTCTTTCTGCTTTGGATTTAAGCATGCGTGTTCCTCTTTTCACTTTTCTTTTTAAAATGAAAAGACGACAGAAGGGGGATCTGTCCTTTAGGGTTTGGGGCTTTTTTGTTGTTGAGAACAAACAAAAGCAGATTATCATTCCAGCTTGGAAAATAAAGTATTTTCCTTTTGAATTTTATTTGCCTTTTCAAAAGACCCTTTTCTTTTTATTTAAAAAACACCTTCTGTTATTCTCTAATCAGAGTAAAAAAATTTTATAGCTAATACATAACAAAGTGCTGATTAACAAAAGTTATTCTCATCTGGTTTTTGGCTTGTCTGAGCTGAAATGACTTTCCCCACGTTGTTTATTTGATTACAACACATTGGCCCTCATACCTACCAACTAAGCCTCTTTCCTTGAATATCCACAGGAAGAGAAGGGTGACACTTGAGACAGTTAAACATTTGCAAGTGTCATTTCATATTTCAGAGTACTTCCAGTAGCAACAGCTCCATCTGCAAAGTCTGCATCCCCAAAGATGCAGAAGAGATTTCCAAGTCAGAAATATCCCAATACCCAGCTGCTGGGCAAAAACCTGCCGACCCTGAGCAGTCAACCCTTTGTCCCAGGGCTCTGCTGTGCACCCCAGGGCTGGACCTTGCCCATGGCCCCAGGAGCTGCCAGGTGCTCAGCTCTCGGCGTAACTCGTATTTCTCTGCAAAGCAACACAGCAAAGGTCATGGAGCCTCCTAGAAGGGAAGGGTCTGCACAGATCTCACCTTGCACACACAAGCTCCGTTAGTTTCTTTTCTCCTTAATCCAGCATGAAACCGATTCTGGATTTACAGCATCAAAACCTGCTTTTTTACTCACAGAACAGAGGCAGCTCAATTAACCACTGTGGGACTCCATGTCATGCCCTCTGTTACCAGGCTCATGAACCTAATGACTTTATGAGCCTTTTCCTGCTCTCAGGTCAGCTATTCTGCAAAGGACCCAGGTGCTCCCTGCCCTCCTCGTAGAGATACGGAGCCTCCTCCTGTGCCTCTCGCCTGCTCAGGAATTACTCGACTCAAACACTGTACTTGTAGTCGAAATAAATCAACATTTAATATTTTACAATTACCTTAAAAGTTCTTTGAACAGTATTTTACAGATCAGCACAGACATTACACAGATTTGGTGATGCTGAACATATGTATAAGGATGACCTGAAAGAACCTCGGACTTCTTTCATTTCCAGAAAGCATCAGAGGTCAAAACCTTAGCCAGGATTATGAGTCCCTAGAGTTTGTGCCTGTTTTTCTCTCTGAGATGGAAATGCTCTTCTCTAGTACTTCTGTAGGGCCAGCTGAAAGGTTTATATCATTAACAGCGGCAGGGATATATTTAGCCACGGATATCAAGATCACAAATAGCAATGTTTTGACAGGATAAGGTGCTATTTTAAAGTATTGAACAAAAATTCCAGCTGTCAAATTTCAGCCCCATGTGAGAAAATGCACACAAACCTGTTTGGGAAATGAAAAGTCAGTGGGAAAACTTTTTTCAAGTGCGTAGAAAGAGCTATTAAAATCTGTTTCTGATCCCTGGAGCCTATTGGACTTAAAATACTGATGTGCAAAGGTGCACAGCAGCGACCTCAGCGCGTGTTCCCACATCGCCCCGCAGGCACTCTGTGAGAGAGGGGACAGCCCACCACGACCTGGCATCTCTTGGTGTCCCTGCCGAGTCCATGCTGCGAGCAAGGGATGGACACTGCTCCATGCACATAGGAAAAGGTGGGTGCTCCCAGGGTCGGTGTGTGGCCAGGGAAGGTGGGTCCTTGCCGGGAGTCCAAGCCGGCTTTGCATCATGGTGGAACCAGAGCACCTGTGTATGTTCAAGTGATGCTTTGCCCCACATGAGGGTCTTTTCTTGGAGTCCACAAGGCAACACCATCCTTGGGATGGTTTATTCAAGTAGAAGGACGAAGCGCAGAGGCCTCAGGAGCATGTTCACATCTCATTTTTGCTCATCTCCGGCCATTGGCAGAAGCTGCATCCAGAGCTGCTGAGGACACCGAAGAGCCAGCTGGCACCTTCTCAACCTGAGATGTTCACCACTGGGCCCAGATCAAGCTGTCCCCAAACAACAGAGGCAGTGGGGACAGAAAGCAGGTCCAGCAGCCAGCGGGGCCAGAATCAGAGTCGTTGGCACAGGAGGGATCTCCCAAACACTTCCAGGAGGGATGTGGAAGAATCCAGCAGACAAGCCTGACCCACGCTCCTCGGAGACAACTGAAGCCCCCAGGGCCTCTGGCCCTTTTCCTGGCAGATTTAACCTCAAATGACACTGCTGCTCTGCCACCAGCCCTTGGGGACAGAGCCCAACCTTGTTCTAACTAGTGCTAAGAGCTGACCAGGTCCCGTTTTCTTGAGGATCAAGGGACCCACACTGAACTGATCACACCATGGCTGAGCCCTGCAGCCCCCCAGCAGTATCGGGGGTCCCTTTCAGGGAGCACATGTCCTCGGCATTGAGAAGCATGCTCTTCTGCCTGTTATCATTAGTGCAATCACCAAAACCTACTGAGAAACAGCTTGAGGGCTATGAAACCAGGCGAGGCTTTTCCAGTCTCATTTTTTGCTCCTGGGGTCAGAATATCTCTAAATACCCCCAACTATTGCACCTTTCTGTACCTACAGCCTTGCAGAGAGAATGAAGAGGACGGAAAGCCTCTTTGCAGGGTAGGGGGGATCTCAAATCCTATCATCACTTGCAAGTGTCACTAGTGTTTTTGGTGCTGGGTCCTTCTCTAGCAAAGCTGCCTCCTCAGGTAAGCCTTAGGCAATCCTAGTGGTTTTCCTAGTACTTCCCTCCCTCCTATGAATGTGAGCATTGTTCCTGCCACGTTTCAAGCAACTATTGAGGATTCAGCCTCTGGGATGCCTCTAGCATACAGTGCTGGGAAGCAGGATGCAAGAACATAGGCTGAACGGGAAGTATATCTCCTGGGTCAACTCTGAAACTCTGCAGAAATTGGAAGTTCATCTCCTGCAGGTCCTGAATTTACAGTAAACACATGTCTACATGACAAGCTGGTATGGCCTATTGCACTCAATTCACTGGAACACAAGCAGCAGTGTACAACCCATGCTGGGGTCTTTCTGGGCCTCAGCTGGGTCGCTCTGCTCTGCACTGTTTCTCTGCAAGACACCCAACCTTCATAATTTAAAGGAAATAATGAGAAAGCCTGTCCCCGTCCGGAAAGAACTGTCCTGAGCATCCTCGACCTGTTACGGGTGTAATGCCATCAGGACTTCGGATGGGTGGTCTGCAACTCTGCAGGCGTTGAAGGCCACCTACTGCCACTCAGCCAAGGACATTCATTTTCCAAAATGTCCCCCCATGAGCTTCCCCCCGATCATGCTGGCTTTGCAGTCACTGTCAAATACAGCCACAGCACCATTTTCGGGCAGGAAAATATCACTGTCCTTGCCTTGCTTTCTCAATCCAGGTGTTGGCAGTTCAGGTGGAAATCTCAAGGAAACCACTTTTCTTCCATCGCTGATGAACCCTGAGAGATACCAGAGCACAACACCAATGTTCCCATTTCCCAAGGATGGGCAAAGCCCAGACCAGGAGCAGCTCAGCCACCATGCTAATGCTTTGGGCTGCAGGATGTCTTGGACAAGAACAGATGGGTCTCCAGCCCAAAGGAGGACAGTCCACTTCCCTTTCCTGAGGCTATATTGGTGTTGGATGTGAGCCTGGCCTGAGAGGACACATGGTTCTTCTACGGCAGTGCTCCACTGAAGGTGGCAATGGGTAAACACAGGAGAGAATGAAACTCGGAGGGGTCCTGGGAAGGCAAAGAGGACCTTCTCAGTGCAAAGAGATCACTGTCCCTGGGTTTGTAGCACACAGAGATCTCACACCTGCAGGGGAACAAAAAGAAACCAAGTTATAAGTAAGGTGTGTGGTTGAGAATCACGGTCCTCAGGTGCAGCAGAAATATCTGCAAACAAACAGGAATCAGTGTGGTCTTTAATAAGACTGGAGTTTGAGTGCTGAGAGGTCAGGTCTTTAAGCTGGCTCAGATTGGGACCTAGAACAGAAGCATCCATACAGAGTAATTTCTGAAACTCATTAGGGAAAACGAGAATTTTGCATCCCCCAAGTTTTGGGGAGAGGGAAGTAGCTCCTTCTCCATTTCATGCATTGAACTCTCCCATTAGCCCCTTGAGTTGCCCAACAAACAAGTTAAGTAAAACACTTCTCATTAGGGTTATTTAAGAAATACGATCTGAAATCTTTTTCCATTGGAGGCAGCATAACCTTGCAGAGTTCTGCTCTCTCTGAGGGAGAAATTAAAATGCTTGCACATTTTTAAGACCTATGGATCAACTCGTTTGATCTCTTTGTCCTCATGGAATTATGTTGTCTACGGTGAGTTTTCAAACTCCATCACCCGGGGAGCCAGCTTGGTGCCCTGGGGACATGACTGATGGATGAACAGTCAAATGAACAATTCTTGCTCTACCCCAGTCTCTCCCATGAAGATCATGGGTTCCTTCTGCGATGGGTATGCCAAAGGTGGTGGAGAACCCAAATGAGGTTTAGAAGTTGAAGGCTCTGCTCATGTGCCCAATGGTCTCCAAACACCTCATTTATGTTGCATAGCTTTCCTCTGGCTTATGACTGGTCTTGCTGAAAGAGCTGTCTTTTCAGAGTTGAACAGTTGACTCGGGACCACCCTTCAGACTGTGGCAGTCATGAAGGTAAAACAGTGCTGGGACCATCCAACCCACCTGAGCTCAGCTGCACTACAGAGCTTGGAGCTACATCACCCAGCTTGGGCATCTGGCATAGATCTACCATGGTGCTCAGGACCTCGTCCCCCCGGTGGCCACCCACACTTCATGGACACGTCCTTACACACAGGATGCAGCATCCCAGGAGGGCTGACTGCAGTGGGCAGCTGGCCACATTGCAGGTCCTACCTGGTTACACTCTGCAGGATCTTCTGCTCATCCTGGTCCAGGCACACGGCGAAGGAGGACTGGACACCGATAATCTGGACCTTGTCTACTTTTATCTGGGACACACTGATCTGCTGATAGAAAAAGAGTCTGAGTGAAGGAGCTGCCAGGCTCAGTGCATTTCCCTGTGCAGGGAAGGGGAGCAGGGGAGCTGGGCACCCCTAAGGCAGGCCTGGTGGCCAACAGCAAACGGATCCTCCAAGGGGCTACTGTCTCCTGCTCTGCTTCCCTCCCAGCTAAGTCAGGCTGACCTCTTGTTACCAAATGTAAAAGCACCGTGATATGAGTTACCTGATTGAAACTTTTTTTGGATTTGGAGTTTTGCCTTTTGACCACCTCCGTCATGGTTAAGTTGAGACACTCTGTCTTTGAGGCTGTAACAAAAGAAAACTGTTTTCACTTGGGGCTTCTGGGCCACTGGTGGGAACCCAAGTGGTCCCTCCACCCCTCAAGGCATCCCAGAGCCAGTGGCTCTCAGCAGGACCGCACTGCTGGGGGAAATGCGATACAGTTCTAGCTTTACTTCCCTCATGCTAACGCACATGAAAGAAAGCAATCAGAGACACAGAGGTAAACGTCCTCTGTAATTTCCAGCTGCTTTCCAAACATAGCAGAAAAGGACATTTAACTATCTTAGGACCTAAACAGGAGAAAAGACATTGTCCCATCATCACGAGGAAATTCTAGCTCTCTCAGCTTAGCCTTTCTTGCAGTCCACCTGGAGATGCTTTTTCGTGTCTGGAACTACAGTGACATCCTGTGGTCAAACTGCTGAATGTGAAAACCAACGGAGATAATCAAGGGGACGGGGTTTCTCTTGGAAGGAAGGAGATTCATGAAGGAGAAGTTTCTCCCCAACATGGAATTGAGGACACCCCCTGAAGCAAACCCATAGCGCTGGCAGCACAAACGAAGCTCCTGAACTAGCGCAGAAACACCCAACTCAAAATATATAGAGGAGGTGAGAGATTAATTCCTGCTGGGTTTTTTCCAGGGTTCACATGCATGGCTTCACGGAGCGGGGAGCAACAGGTGGGACAGGAGGGATAGAGGCTTAGGCTGAGCTCCGTAGGGCATGTAGGAGCTGTCTCCTATTTGGCAGACCACCTGTTTGCCCTGACTGCTCCGCTCACAAACCACACATCTGCCAGACACAAAGCACACGAGGAAAGGGGAACTAAAAAACCCCTCAGTTTACTCAGAACTGGGTGTCTGATTGCCAAAACAGCAGTCCTTAAGCAAGAATGAACAGGTATTGCTTCTAAATACACACACAAACTAAAAGTCTTGCTGCTTTTAAAAGGCTCAAAGCCTTATTAATACCCCATTGGAAACCTGATTAGAAAAAAGACTATGAAGCAAAACCATGTGGCAGCCAGCTATCTCTGAGCTGCAGGAAGGAAACCAGGCTGAAGCACCAGCTTAGCGAGAGCCTGCTGAAAGCTGGCTGCAAGGCACGGCTGCTGCGGACGGCAGGACAAGCACCCTCTCCCTTGGTCCTACTTCACTTAACAACAGTTTTACCCGTCTCTCTACTTACTAAACAAGTGTTGTTCTGGAAAGCACCACTCTCCAGTGATCATCCTATGGTTTGGATTGTCCCAGCCCCATCCCTAATGGACATCCCATTTCCCTGGCTGGAAGCTTTAGGACAACAGGAAATCAAATGTCGCTGATGTGGTGCTAAGGACAACCAAGGACTACACTATGCCCTGGGGAACACCAGGCACCTTCCATGTGTCTTCTGCATTCACACATCTCTGCTTTGCTCCAGCTAGAAGATCCATGCTGTCCTCTTGCTCCACCAGTCCCTCCCATTGCTCCCTATGCAAAGCCACAAAGACCACCTCTACCCACCTAGTTCTTCATGTTTCTTGCAGGCTTTGCTAAGGTTGACGGATGTGCAGACCTTCTCAACATCATTCCAGTGACTTCTTCCACTGATGGCTGTCTGCAGAGACCAACGAAAGCCCGTGAGATGCCACGCTCCAAGCTGATGTTACCCTGCCTCCCATCCCTAACCATCTGGCTGGACTAGCACAGATCTGGATTTACCTGGAGCTGCACAGACGAAGTTTGAGTAGGCATTAAAATTCATTTAACCTTGGATTTACAAAAATTGCCCAGGCTTAACACTAAATAACTGCAAAGGAATCAACAAAATAGGAGGACTGCTGTGACCAGCAGAAGATCACTACCTGGAAGCAAAGTCCACCAGTGTAAGGTGGTGGACTGAACACGTCCAGTCGATAAAAATGGGCTGCACATTCCCTATTTTACTGGGCTGAACAGGAGTGGAAAGCCACCCCCAATTAGCCAGTAAGTAGACAATTAGCTTGAGTTTGGCTTATCTGGGTTTGGATTCGGCTCCTCCAGCAGACTGTCAGCGCTTGCCTCTCTCAGCCCCCAGCTGAGAGACATGTTTGCCCAGCACTGAAGTGGCTTTCTGCCCTGTTTGTCTTTGTGCAAGTCCCGTGCACTCACCTTACTGTAGGCGATCTGTAGTGTTAGCGGGATTGCTTCTCTGTCTCCATCTATGCCCAGCCTTTTGCTGCCTGGTCCTGCACAAAACAAGGAGCAAATGTCACACGGTGGCCTTTTATCCCCAGTTGGCTACTGATAAGCAGTGCACTCAGTATCTACAGAAAGGGGGGAAAAAAATGGTTTGCTGAACACAGCTGTAGAGCAAAAAGGCAAAAAGAAAAGGTGGCTTAAAAGCTGCCAGAAAGCAATTAATCCAGTGCAGAAATTTCAACACAAAGCACAACAAGCAGCTCTGCAAAACTGAAAGCGGTGCTGGCTAAGCTGGTGCAGAGGGGTCAGTGCTCCAGGGAAAACACAAAGCAATAAAAGGCCGCATTGCTAACCCAGCTCCTGTTTTTCCGGGCATATTTGTGCCCACATTAAATTAGCCTTGAAATACTGTGCCCGACATTTACTAACTTTTTTTTTTCCTGGATAATTTTTTGCAGATGTTAAGTGGTGTGCTGCCAGACAACCCAAGGGGGGGGAAAAAAAAAAAAAAAAAAATCAAAGTCAGAAAGGATTGGTGGTTTCATGAGTTATTGGGAAGAGGTCGTGGCCAAGCCTGTATTTTGGGGGAGTGGGGTGGTGACACTTCATATGGAGGATATTTTATGAGCTCTGTTTAGAAAGACAAGGCGAGATCACAGAAAAGCAATTGGTTAAAAAAATTAAGCAACGTGTTTAAATGCAGTATTGTTGGTTGGCCATGAGATGTCTCTGCGAGCTGCACTGCACCAGACAGCATGTTATCCTTGGTACCCGGGAGAGAGCTGGAGACCACGCTGCAGGCAGATGCTTCTGCCATTGCTTCTTGTCTCTAATAATTTTATAAATTCCTAGTGTAAAATCTCCCTTGCAGGAAGGCTCCAAGCACACACACGAACCTTGCTTTGCCCAGTAAACTAAGGAAATGGAAAGAGCATTTTTATAAATGACGCTCCTGGACAAACAACAGAAAGCAGCCAAAAGAAAAGATGAAGAGCTGCACTTGGCCAGGTGCTCATGAGAGGAAGGAAATGGGCTTGAAGCTGTGTTATTGCAAATATATTTTAGAGTTAACAGCAGTAAAAATAACAAGGCATTGCCACAGCTTTGGTCCTGAAGAGGAATGCAAGAACTATGATGCTTCACTTCCAAAAAGATGTCTGGATCTTTGCTCACGATGCAGCCTGGGCTCAGACACCTCTTGCAGCCCACAGTCCCTCCAGCCCCTCTTTCCATTTATCTCCCAGCCCAGTGGTTTGCAGACCTCCACCCCAAGGCTGCAGATGCAGATGCAGCTACAGACCTGATGCCTTGATGGCCCGCGTGGCCGCCGAGTGGCCCAGCTCAAGGGAATGGATGAAGACTTCAGTCATCTTTTCTCCCCCAATGAAGGTGAGCTGCCAGGGGGAGAAGAGGCAAGACATGGTGGTGAGGAGACCCAGCCCACGCCAGGCAACGTTCACCCCCTCACTCCTTTCTGCAGGAAACAGGTCAGTTTGGGAAAATCATGTTTTCAAAATACAACTTTCAACAACTGCCTTGGGTGACACCTGCCTTTAGCTGTACTTCCAACTGTTTTAACAGACCACCAGCAAGTAAAACAACCCAAAAACCTAATTTTCATTTAAAGAAAACTCCCCGACCCACTGGAAAGAAAATCCACGATGAGCCTAACAGCAGGGTCTGGTCATCGCTTTGGGCGACACAAATCCCATGAACGGCAGCAACTCTGCTCGCCACAGCCCCACTGCAGCCGGTCCCGTGCCACCGCACCAAAGCGGTCATTGCAGCCGTGCATTGAACCTTCCCCACCATGTCTGCCCTGTGCACACAGTGGGGCATGGAAAACAGGCTTCATGGAGGGGTTTGGTTTGGAAAGCAGAGCACTGGAGGGACTTCCAGTGATGTGAATAACCTGTCAGCACTGACAGGAGTCATGGGGAAAGGCATTTGGATGGAAAACTGCTCGTGTGACTTAAGGATTGTCTGGGCAGGACCTGCATGCTCTCAATCCCTGGGCCAGGAGCACCAGCCAAAGCACCATGGGCACCCAGGGAATAAGGGGAGACCAAGCTCTGCCTCACCAGCACATGGTGGCAGTGCCATACCCCCATCCGCTTCACAGGCAGGTCCCGAGTTAGTGGCACAGGCAGAAGACCTCCCTTTCGCCCTCGCCAAGACAGGGCTGAGCCCCTTTGCCTACCTCTGTCTGGTAGAGCTGCAGCAGGACGGGGCGTGTGGCGAAGCGGCAATAGTAGAGGATCATGTCGGCCAGGATGGGCAGCTGCTCCTGGGAGTCCTCCTGGGGCTCAGCCTCTGGCTTGGCAGACTGCGGCGAGAGAATAAGTCACAAGCCTGATGGGATACGTGGTACCCACAGCCCAGTGCCAAGAGCTGCCCGTCCCACCCCACTGGGGACAGAAACCCTCCTCCTGACCACGCATCTCCATCCCGTGTCCATGTAGCACAGCCTGCTGTGGTGGATCGTGGTGGCCCAGTGCTAAGCAGAAGCTCTCCGCTCAGCTGCCCTGTACCTCGGGGAAGGGGGACGCCAAGCCCTACCAGCTGGCATGCACATACCTGACACAGGACGTCCATGGGCAGGTTCATCAACCCAAGAACGTTGCGCTCGTACCATGGGTCCAACATGCCAATGTAGTGGGAAATGTCGTTGGTGCTGCTCTCCACCCCAGCCAAGGTGGGATCCTGAAACCGGACACACAGGGGTCACACCAGGGCCCCCCCAGGCTCCTCACCCCACGCTTGGTGAGACACCAGTGCTCCCCTCAGCCTGCCCTGCCAGCCTCCTCGCACACCGCTCTCGAGGTGCGCAGAGCACCGGTGGCACTGCAAGCCCCGCGGCGAGCAGGACACCTACCACCTGAGCCGAGGCCCGGAGCTGCGGATCCCCCAGGGAC